TATAGGAACCACACGAGTTCCTGCTTCCTTTCATCAAGCAACATTCTTGGTACAAGTTATCCAATCACATTCTTCTGCTGCTTCAATCGGTGCGACGTATTTCGACCTGGATTAGGCCCCATGCACAGTGTCTCTTTTTTTTGGGCACCCCTGTACATGCAGATCAAAGTTTTCTTTCTTAAATGAAGAAGCAAAAGTATGAGAAGAGCTGATGTGAGGAACCAGAGGTACCAATGCGAAAAATGCGCGGCGATTTTTGAGTGGACTGTGCTTAAAATCTCGTAGTGTTTCGAGTTGTTATCGGGGTTTCGAGAAGCTCCCATGGAGTTTCTATGTGAGGGCACTACTCACGAGCACGCACGTAGCATATCCAGCTTCATCTTCCTTGCCTATTTAACCATACAAGGACCGAACCGTCTAGCTACATTCGTCAGGTACTTCAAAATCTTCTAGTTCGAATCCGGCTGCTCAGATGCTGATGCGCATTGAAATCTGTCTCAACCCAATTTGCTTGGAAACCCTTCTGAGCGGTTCTGTGCACATCTCGTTACAAACTTCCAAAAACAAAAAGAACATGGTCCAACAGGGGCCTCGAACTGATCAACGAAAACGATATCATGAATCAGCAAGCGAAATATTATGCGCATACAAGTGAGTAGGGTTCTTTCGTAGCTTTTCTATGAAAGCTACCAGAAAATCGTTTCGGAAATCAAACTATTGTCAAATTTTCGGCAGATATCCTTCGGCTACGCAACCCAATGGGTTGCAGTCATGTGCCCCATGGAGCCCTTATTTCGAAAAAAAAGGTCCTCTTGAGCTCTCTCGCTAGAGATCTCTTTCCTTCTAATCATGACTTATCCCAGTATATTTGCATACCTTTCCAAAGTAATTTTGATATGATTGTTTCCAACAAGCAATTCTCAACCACTCTTCTCAATCATGTCCAATTCTAGCAGAAAACATTAATCAGAAGTAGCAAAGGTGACAGAAAACATAAACATAAACTCTGAATTTATTTATGACATTACCACTAGAATTAAATTATTAACTAGGCTTGTTATTATTGTGCAGCTGCAGGCGATCCATTAGAAGCGTAATCGCGATTTCTGCACGTGCATGGCGTAATTCTTGTGCTAAACCACCCCAACTGATGTGACAGAAAGAATTGAAAGGAAATATACTCAGTGCGTGTTATTCTATTATTTGAACTATTAATTTCAGTGCAGCTGAGCTCTACTAGTTGTCCCTTGCACTTGATTGGCCTCATTTGATTATCCATAGATCTCGGAGGTAACTCAGCGATTTTCTGTCCGCTTCAATGCGCAACTCATTAAACAAGCGGCAGTTCGGCAAATGAATGCTCTTAATGAAGATGCTGTTCAATGAGGATGTCCTATTACACATGCGAATTCGCTCGATATGAACAGTAAAACTTTCTGGAATTCCTTCTGGCATTCGGCTAGGCTGCTGATAATATCTCAGGACAGTTATAGTAAGGATAAGAAGACTACGAGGACAGCTTATTAATAGAGTAGATGTCAATAGGGATGTGCCATGCATCAGGAATCCGTCGGAAACCCGATGGGACCATTGAGGCCTTTTTTGGGCTTATTAGCTACTGTTGTTCTGACATGGCCCTTTTACGCCCAAAAATCATGCGCAAGTGCGCTTCCAGTAAAAGGATTCCATTTATTCGATGCAGACGAAATTAGTGTCAATCTGATGGTAGACCTGGATTCGCTTCTCCGATATTGACTTCATATCTTTCACCACAGTATCACCACAGCTCTCCTCATGGAAGCCATACGAGTCAAAACCGTTCCTTAAGAAAAATAAAGCAGGACTCACCTAACATGCATAGGATATAGTAGGATATGAACAGAACTATGGCTATGCCGTTGATTAGAGAGGAAATCCAGCATCTCGGCAGTTTCTCGTAATCAGAAATGAAACGTGATGCGAATGAACGCTCGGTGATCATCGCCGGAATCATCGTCAACAGCGAACACATCGAAGCAAAGCGTGCAGCCACAGACAGGAAAACGACCATATCGAACTTATCCTCTGAAAGTGTGCGATTAGTGATCCACGGAAGATTACAGGAATAGCTCAACCAATGCTTTGTTAAAGAGGGAACGACGTTCTGAGAAATTCATCTGTGCAGGAGCGATCTCCCAGTTATATGGTTTAATGACTGGTAGAAGACAGCATGACCAGCTGTCACAAGAAAACCCTTCTCCATTTTTGCATACTAGTAAAATCATAGCAGTTGATCCGCTCGTTTGAGAGAGATCATCTCCTGAGTTGTCTATGGCAAGGTGTATTAATAGTATCGATCAAGTGAGGGCGGTTTTGCTGCAGTTAGCGCTCAAGTCTGTGAGTAGTGCCCCGCGATTCGAAACCAAAAGAAGAAAAACTAGTCGCACGGGAAAAGTGATTACCCGGTCTCTTAATTATTCTTGTTTCGTAGAGAACGGCCAGTATTCGTGAAGCCTCTGATACAGTAACGGCAATAAGGTGCATCTGAAAAAACTATAGGTTGGCCGCGTTAGGACAAAACTGTTCGACAACTTGTTTACAATTTGTTTCTTTTCTATGAAGAATCCAATGAGTTGCATTCTTCCCGTAAGAGGAATTCAGCGGATCGATCAGGACTCTCATAGGAAAATGTAGTGATCAGCAAAGTAATGATGAGCCAAACTTACATAGAGTTATTTAAGCAACTGGACTTATTTCAACAGACTGGCGAATTTTTTTTTGGCATGTGGAGCCGAATAATTTAAATGCCATTCTCCTACTTCCTCAATTTTCCACCGATACAATATCTGATTTTTTTGCAAGCCGAAGGCGTTGTTATCTAGGAAAGGCATTTCGCTCGAGCGAGTAATTATTTACACCTCTCTGGTTTAAATAGCAACATAAGGCAAGGAATTTTTCGACGTAACAGAAACCACTGGAAAAATATTATTTATAAGAAAGACTGAAATCGTCATTGGGCTTTACGATCCTTATACAGTAAGACATGATAAAGACTAACCACTGGTAATTATTAGTCTGAATGCCGTCTCAGTCTTCAAAAGTGTGGAAGAGCCAAAAAGTCTAGAAAGTTACTTTGCAGATCTGCTAATGACCATAAATGATAGAATGTCATTTAGATATTGAGAATGGATGTTGTGCTCCGAGAACGAGACTTTGGTTCTTGAATCGAAAAATGTCTGGTAAATGTTTTGGTACCCAAAATGAGACAAGTTCTCTACTATGAGTACTGACGAGTGATGTGATTGGAACCGGGTTTCATAAGCTAAACCGCTTTTGCCCTGCTCAACGCCCATGGGCCTTTTTGGGAACCGTGCATTCTAACCAAGTACAAATATCTAAAATAGATTCATGTTCCTCTAACCAGGGAGGGGTAGTCTACTTATCTTGGAACTTTGAATTCAGA